GGCACCGGGGTGGAAGAACCTTCCCACCCTACTTGCTGCACCCAAGGGTGCTCAGGGGGCAATGGCAGCGCGGGGGGAGAGCGGGGTGCCCTGTCAGCACAAAGGGAGGGGGTGGAAGGAGCCACGGAGCCCCAGCACACCCCGAATCGGGTTGAAAGACCCACCCCCCCATCACAAGGACCCCGATGGAGGGTCGGGTCCTGCTGGGTGGAGCCCTGTGCCCTGGGCACTCAGAAGAGCCACCTGTGTCACCACGGCCGGGTTGGAGGTGCAAGAAGTAGGCGCAGGGGAGCCACAAAGAGAAAGAGCTGAAAAAAAACCCCCACGGGAGGGTGAAAGGAGGGGAAGGCAGCGGGGGCAGGGGGTGGGTGCACAACAGAGCCATGCGCAGCCCCTGCCCCGTTAATCCGGGCTCCTCTGAGATTGCCTGGGAGCTGGGGGCTTCCCAGTGCCCGGGGACGTGCCCTGCTCTCCTAATCTAAATGCAAACAATTCCCATACAGGCTCTGATTAAAAGAATAATCCCCGGCTGCCCCGAGGGGAGAGGGGCCAGGCTGCACGTCGAGGACTCCCAGGGCCAGAGCCACCCCCCCTCAGTCCTTTCCCTGTGCATTGCCAGGCCCCAAGTGAGGGATAGGCCTAATTTGAGTCCAGAGGCTTAAAGATGCTGTTGAACTAATTTCTTTGGTTTAATCAAAAAGCCCAAATCCGGGTGGTTTTAGCTGGCTGTGCCGGGTGTCCCCGCGCGGGGCCGGGTGGCTGGAGCAGGGCTGCCAGGGGTTGATCCTCCAGTGAGTGGAGCTGTCCCATCCTGTCCCATCCTGTCCCTGTCACCAGGAGTGGCAGGGAAAAGGGACTCCACGTGCAGCACCTGCCCTGGGGGCTGTGTGGGGTGTGTGGGGCATGGCTGCCCTTGGGGGCTGCTCCCCCCACCCTGGGGGAACCTTCTCTGGGCTATGTGGTAGGAAGAAGGACCCATCCCAGCATGGAAGGAGGCTCCAGGATGGAGAGAGGCTCTGCCTCATCTCTGAATGCCCTGGGGGAGGAGAGACCCCCCCGCAGCTGCTGCCCCATCTCCACTGGGAGAGAGCAGTGCCATGGGCCACACTGCTCCCAACCCTGGTGAGTCCAAGGGGCTTCTGGCCATGGGTCTCCAGGAGTGGGATGAGGGTTAAACATCCCTCAGGTGCTTCAGCTCCTTTTGCAGCTTCTCTGTGATCTTCTTGAAGGACGGCCGCTTGCCTGGCTCCAGCTCCCAGCAGCTCCTCATCAGGGCATAGATGGTGGGCGGGCAGCCTTCGGGGGGCTCCATGCGGTACCCCTGCTCCAGCAGCTCTGTCACCTCCTTCAGGCCCTGGCAGGATGGAAAAGCCAGCTGGGACCCCCCCCTTTTCCTGCCCCCAGCCAGGGGAGGGTGGGATGTCCCCATCCCATTGGTGCCAGCAGGGTGTGACTCGTGGTGTTCCCTGGCACAGAGCTCACCAGCTTGGGGTAGGGTGCTCGGCCGAAGGAGAAGGCTTCCCAGAGGAGGATCCCGTAGCTCCACACATCAGACTTGGAGGAGAATTTCTGCAGTGGCCAGAGGAGGGGAGGCTGAAGGTGGCCAGGGCTGCACTGGGCCCCCATCCCTCCCCGAGGACAAGACAGGTGAAAAAGTGGCCCCTTGCCACCCCCAGCTCCACTAGTCCCATCACCCACATGACCCTGGGTCCGTCCTGCTGGAGCTGCCCCAGCTCCTACTGTGCAAGGGCTGGTCAGGACAGAGCCTGGATTTGGGGACATGCAGGGCTGAATGTGCCAGAAGCCACCATGGGACAGGGATGGGTTGGCAGGAGGGGGAACAAGCAGGGGGGAGCCAGGGGCTTC